CCCCCCCGCTGCTAAGCCGCCCTGGCCTCCTCGGGCCACTGTCTTGGCTGCTGTCGCCAAACACCCTGGGTCCGAAGGCTCCTCCGAGGCCCCAGGACGGCCCCCGCTGTCTGGAAGGCACGGAGAAGCCGGAAGGGTTAAGCGCTGTGTTCGCACCGCACACCTCTGCCTGAACGCAAACTCCCAGCAGGGCGGTGGTGCTGTGCAAGCCCTCGGAGTGATTTGTGAAGTCCTGAAGCCGGTAATCTCGTCAGCGTAATGGGATTATATTTCAAATCACCACGGCCTGTTCATTACCCATTTAAACTCCTCTGACAGAGGAAAACTTACATAAAACGCGCACAGTGCTCTGGCCGACTTCCCCATCTCCTTCCTGATTAGACAAACAGATGCTGAGGTCTGGAATGAAAAAATAATGTGCCCATTTATTCATTTTTCTGACAAGTCACAATAGATTTTTAACTGCCAATGAGTGACCTCCCGGAGGGGGAAGCTGGGAAGTAGCCGCCAGGCAGCGACTGGTCATTCCCGCCCATGTGACTGCTCTGGGGACTGCCGCCAGCCTGAGCCGCTCACAGTCCTGCCCGAGGGCCACCCTGGGCCTCTCGCTGTCAGCACCCAGAGGGGTCGTGGGGGCAGCGGCCAAGGCCTGAAGTCCGCAGCCCCAGGAGGAAGCCGGCCCTGCCCTTGTCCAGCTCAGTGACTGAGGACACACTCAGTCTCCTGGGCCTCGGTTTCCCCAGCTGTAAAATGGGCACAGTGAGCTCATCTTGGTGCTGAGGGTTCAGAGGCACAGCTGGGCCCTCAGCCCCACTGCAGTCCACCGGCTGGCCGTGCCCAGCAAGCACCCCTGCCATGACAGGTCGAGAAGGGCGTGTGGAGTGCCAGGCGCCCCTCGACCTCGACCTCAGCCACCCCCCACCTTGTCACTTGCTAGGTCACCGGTCCCTGGCTCTGCTCCCTGCCCGTGAAAGTGGGTGCGGGAAGAGCAGCTGCATCGGGGACCCCAGCGCTGCTGCCTGCCTCTGTTCCCGAGCCTTGTCCCTGCTGCAGAAGAAACCCAACAGCAGTGAGGGGCTGCAGGCTCCCCTCATTGTCACTCAGGTGCCTACAGGACTCGGGGGAGCTCAGCCTCGCTGGTCCCCAAACCTGCTCTAGTCTGGTCACACCACCACCTCCCCGGCCACCCCAAGGGCCCCCCCACCCCAAGGGCAGGGTTTCAGCCCT